CCCAGTCCAAAAGGGTTTAACTTTGCCCTCCTCCATCAGCCTATTAAGGCCCCTAGAAAAAGCCTCTGAAGCAAGAATAAATAAAAAGGGGGATAGTGGGTCCCCCTGTTTAACCCCTCTGGTAGGTTTGAAAAAACCATGTGGAGAGCCATTTATCAGAACTGAAAAGTAAGAGGCCCTTAGGTGATTCATAACTAACTGGACAAAGTGAAGGGAGAAGCCAAATTTTATAAGAATGTTAGATAGAAATTGCCAGGAGACCCTGTCAAAGGCCTTAGCCATATCCAGTTTAATCACAATGTTATTACCCCTTACTTTCTTATCAAGATGATGAACAAACTCCTGAGCAATCAGAACCTGCTCAGCCGGGTCTCTACCAATCATGAATCCAGCTTGCTCTTTAGAAATGATTGAAGGAAGAATCACTTTCAATCTGGATGCCAAAACTTTAGTGCATACCTTACAAATAAAGTTGGTTAAGCAAATAGGTCTGAAATCACTGAAAGTGGAAGGTCTCTCATTTTTAGGAATCAAAATAAGCAATGCACTAGCCAATCCTTTAGGAATAGGAGTACCTAAAAAGAAATCCTGAACAGCCCTCACCACATCCATTCCAACAAAACTCCAACATTTCCTAAAGAATTTCCCATGAAAACCATCTGGTCCTGAAGCACTGTTATGATCAAGATCCCAAACTGCCTGCTTGACTTCCTCCATTTCTGGCATTTTTGTAAGATTGTTGTTTTCCTCATCAGTAACAAGTTGAGGAATGCAGTGCAGAATGTTGGTGCTTGCAGATACCTCACCCCTATCTCGAGCAGTGTAAAGCTCAGAAAAGAAGTTAATTGCAGCATCTCCAATAAGCCAAGGAGAGGTAATCTCTTGCCCCGTCTGGTCTTTAATAGAGATAATACACTGCTTCCTTCTTTTAATTTGAACATAGGAGTGGAAGAACATTGTGTTGCAATCCCCTTCTTTGATCCAACGAATATTGGCTTTTTGTTTCCAGTATTTCTTTTCCAGCCTGTATTTAATAGTCAACAAGCTCTTTTTATGAAACCAATCCTCTCTGGTTAAGTCACGGGGATTATTTTCAAAAGCCAGCTCTGCCTGCAGAACATCATCTTCACAGTGTTTAATATCCTCAAAAATATTCCCAAAGACATTCTTATTCCAGACTCTTAACTCCTTAAAATTCTGCAATTTGGAGATAAACCCTCTCATACCTCCCTGGTATTCAACAGAATTCCATCTATCCTTTATTAACTGCATGAATGAGTTATTGCCCAGCCACATGTTTTGAAACTTAAAGCTTTTAGGCCCAGACCCACCCACATTAGTAGTTTGAATTAGCATAGGGCTATGATCAGATGGACTCTTATGTAACAGAGAAACCTGAATAGTGTCATACTTGTCTAGAAAGTGTGTATTAAACAAAACCCTGTCTAATCTTCTCCAAACTCTGCCATTTCTTCTATTTCCAGTCCAAGAGTATTTTGGACCAGTAAAAGGAATATCTATCAGATTGCAGGCAGCAATACAATTAGCAAATTCATTAACATCATGAATAAGAGGTAAAGAATTGCCTTTATGTTCCCCATAATTAGCAATAGTGTTAAAGTCTCCCCCTATCATCCAGGGTTCTTGAATATTAGAGCTAAAACTGATAAGATTAGCCCAAAGATCCCTTCTAGTGATATAACTGTGCTCCCCACAAACCCCAGTAATCCAGCCCCTATACCCATGGCTATTCACCTTAAAATGTGCAAATTGTTCATGCCAAGTCAAGTCACTAATGTCCATAGATGAAGAGTCCCAAAAAATCCAAATTTTGTTGAGCAAAGAATTAAGAGCTTTATCAAAACCAAGACTTTGTTTGTAATGGTCTATCTTATTATCAGCAACAATAGGTTCAATAATGATAAGCAATTGCAACCTCCATTGTTTGACTATGGAAAAAAGCCTAGAACTGGAGGATTCTAGGCCCCTAGTATTCCAAATTAAGCAATTCATTGGGAAACATTGACTGCCCCCCTAGCTGCACTCCTAATAGTTCTCTTATTCTGACTTCCAACATGAACTATCTTTTTAGCTGCCTGGTCATGATCTTTATCAACATTCTGAAGCTTGTCTTCAATTCTAACTTCCTGATGATTGTTTGACTCTGCAGGTTTTACAATATTAGCAACATACTGGGGCCCTTCCACAACTGTAGACTCAATGTAAATAACTGAACTTTCAGAATTTATAGCCTGAATCCCGACCTCAGTGACATTGTTAGTGGCTGCACTTGTAGGTATCTCAATGTTCCCCCCAGAAGACTTATTCTTGATAATTAAGGCAACCCCATCACAAATTGCAGACCACCCTTCCATAAAGGATTCAATATTGACTTGATGATCCTGCTCCCCATCAGAGTAGCAGTCCCTGATAACCAGAAGAGATGGAGAGCTAAGGCATTTAACCACTCTATTGATCTGGGTGTCGTCTTGACAACCTAAAATGTCTCCGGTAGCAGGTTTAAGGACCCCTGGTAAGTCTATCTCTAGCAAATCCTTGATCTTGTTGATTTCTTCACCTGCCTCCAATTTATCCTTATCCCCAACATTCTTTGCAGGCGGATCCTCAACAAATACCTCCTCAACGTCCGTTTCACTGTCTTAGAGAACCTCCTCCACCACATCCCTAGATGGAGCTTTCTCCCCAACAACCTTAGATGTAGATTGAATATGATTATCTGGCTGAGATGTAATCTTGTCTTTTCCTTTCTCTTCCCTTGTAAGCCTTGTAGTAGATTTTTCCTTTTTCTGCACCCAATGCTCCTTTTTCTCCTTGATCATACTAGTCACGTTGGTCTGAACAGACTGAATAGGTTGTTTCTTAGGACACTTTAGATGTGAATGCCCTAAGTGAAGACATTCCGTGCAATATTGAGGTCTATTTTCATAGACAATAGCCTGTGAGAATCCCATAGCACCACAATTAATCCATATCTTTGAGGGCATCTCCTTTGTAAGATCAACTTCGACATAGACCCGAGCCACAGATGGCCTAGATAGAGTCGCAGTAGCTTCATCAATTTTGAGAGGTTTCCCAATCAAAGATGCAATCTCAAACAGGGCTGATTTATCCTGCAGGTGAATCAGTAATCCCTCAAGAGCAATCCACACCGGGACAACCGGTGATTCAACATTGGGTTTGAATTCCGGGGTCCACTTCGTAACTTTCATGACATGGCCCTGGATAACCCAGTTCTGCCTTGTCCAACATCTAATGAAATCCTCCTCCATATCAAATCTAATCAATATATGCTTTGGATCCAAAGCACCCAATTGAAAATTGCCTTTACAACCGATGATTTCAAAAGCTTTTCGAATGATCAGAAGACTTGGTTTACCTTTAAAAAAGTGCGATGCCTATCTGCCAAATTCCGACTATGGTCCTCAGAAAAGGAAATAGAAGGAACACCTTTAAACCTGGATTTTTCCGGCACCAAACCACTCGAACGATTAGCAACTACATCCGCAAAGAATTTGCGATCCCATATGCAGCCGCCGCCGGGCGGCGGCGATCCCGTTTTCAAGGCCTCCGTCCGTCATTCTCCTCTAAAAAGGCTTTTCTCGCTATTTTCTTACTTATATTCTGTCTACTTCTTTTTCTTTGATTGTATTATCAGCCATGTGACGAACGCTATCTTGATTTAATATATTCGTTAGATTTGACGATAAAAAAACTTTCACATTTGCAAATACACAAGTTTGACCATTAATTTATTTTCTACCGTATTACTCAAAAACTTAAAAAATCAGATTTCGGAAATTCAAAATGAAAGAAATTTCACAATATTTTTAAATATTAAATTTATAATACGGATATTAGCCCTTGATAGGACTAAAATAAGTCCAAAATTCAACAATAGGAGCACAATCCCTTTATTCCCAAAATAGGACCAATATATGTCTCTTCTTGCCATTCTACCCTTTTCTATAATTTATAATAGATTTATTTTATTAATAAGAAAATCATAGTTTTATCTTTAATAAAAATATAAAAAATAATAAAAATATTTACAAATCAATAATGAAAACGTGAAAAAATAAAATAAAAATAATTTTTTTTACAAAAATTAAATAAAATATTTAAAAAACTTTAAAAAAGTCTAAAAAATAAAATAAAATACCTAAAAAATATTTAAAAATATGTAGGTCACTGCCAATGCTTCCTCTACCTCCCAGCACCACCAGCTCCGGTCGCCAGGGACAAAATGTCATCTTACGTAAAAAAAATGCCACATTTCACTGAAAATGCCATGAAGATGACATTTGTATTCTTTGAAAATATCCAGCTTTCTCTTACGTTCTCTTCAAAATTGACCTTGTCATCATGATGACATTTTTTCCCCAACTTGGCAATCTTTTCCGGCGACCGGAGGCGGCGTTGGTGGAAGGTGGCTGAGGTGGTGGTTGAGGTCTGTATACTTTTTAATCATTTTTTCGATTAAATTTATTAAAATTGTAATAAATAAAATTTAATCAAAGTATAATATGTGAATAAAGTAAAATTCAAGCATATCGCAACAACAAAGAAACTTAATACTACATGTAAATGAGTCAATATTAGTTACATTGTCCAGATCTAATAAGTATTTTTGTTTCCTTTCATCAAAACACTTCAAGATTTATTTCTGTTCTCTGGAAAAGAATAGAAACAATTTTAACAAGTGAATTTAAACACCCAAAATGTCATATCATGCCTATTTCTACCAGAAGAGGTTTCAAGTGTGAACTGGTATCTATGCATTCATCATTTTCTATTCAACTATAGCGAGTATTCTCAAGACCAGTTAAAATAGCTCTTTTTCCTTCCACATTTCCTTTTAATCGTCCGTTTCCTGGAAGCAGCCATCTCGATTCTTATTCTACCAAAATACGTGGCGCCCAATATATGGCTGGCGGGCTATATATACCTCCTCCAAGTTGCCCAATTCCCCAACACTTGAAAAATCAAACCGTGCCCCAGCTTCAGAGATCCGACAAAGTGCGTGGCAGAGAAGAAACAAAACAGAGCTGCGGCGGCCGGAGTAAGAATGGAGTTTCAGAAATCGATTCCCGGCGGAGGCGGGTTTCCGAGGGACAAGAAAAGGCAGAGGAAAACGAAGGAGGTGAAGGTGGTTTACATTTCGTCGCCGATGAAAGTGAAGACGAGCGCGTCCAGGTTCCGGTCGCTCGTCCAGCAGCTCACCGGACGCCACTCCGACATCGCCCGGATCATGGAGACCAACGGCGCCACCGATTTTTCGGATGATATATTTCTGGGAGATGGTGGTGATCACGACCGATCGCCGCCGCAGCCGTCTTTCTTTCAGGCCCCGATGATGGCGAGTCCGGCCGTCGATGATGAGTCGCCGACGAGCTCGGTGGATGAGCAATTGGACGCGATGTTTCCGATGGATTGGTTTCTTAACCTCAATTCTTTCGAATTGGATGAGGATGATGTTCTTGGTAGCTATGATGCCCTGTAAATATGCATTTCTGTTTTTATTGTATAACCTCCCACACTCAATTTTTCATCACTATATAGTACTCCGTATATATATATAGATAGATAGATTTTAGATTGATTTCTACAGCATTGTTTTTGTTCATTTTACATATCTATCCATTAATTAATCTAGTATTCTCTTCGCTTGAAGCCTTGAATGTTTCCATTTTAGATATTTGATTGATTGATTCTATTTTTCTACTTCGACTGTGTTGATTTCTGTATTCTATAACAAGAAACTTCTATTTTTAATAGCATGAATGAATTAGGCCTCTTAAATAGATTTTTTTTGCAAAATCTTAAATAGAAATTTAAGAGCTCGTTCAATAAGGATGTTTTCTTTTGGACTGAAATTTGTTCGTCTGGTCTGGTCTGGTTTGGTCTAGTAAACGTCTGGTCTCTGTGTATTTTATAACTATGGAAGTCTGGTCTGGTCTAGGACTGAAAACAGTCCAAAAGAAAACATCCTAATATTGATACTGGCCGAATCTAATACGGAGTATTCAACTAGCTCCAAGTTTTTCTTTTTGGAAGAAACTAGCTCCAAGATTAGATGTCAATAAAAAACAAAACACCCGCATATTAGGTAAACTTCGTTTTCTGAAAATATTATTATATTAAAAGAGTATCCTATCGTTTACTTGACCCTAGTAGCTATTAGCCTATTAGCTGCCTTGAGTCAAATAAACCAGCCATTAGTAGTTTAGTACTAACCTCAATCCTTTCTTCTCTGAAATTGAACATTATTCTTCATGCACGAAAATTAACACGAATTCATTACTCAATACTCCGTATTGGATATTCAGTCACATGCTCGTCAAGCTGAGTTTTTTTGGAAAAAACAAATAAATATATTTGTTTGCGGTTTGACATGAATCTAAATTAACAGATTTATAAGAGTTGAAAAAGATCATGCCCATCCGGATAGACAGGAGGCGTTGTCCGGCTGCCGTCGTTTGAGGCGGTTTCCGGTGGAGTTTTTTATAATTTTTTTGTGCATGTTTCTCATCAAGTGTAGTTTATCCAAAAAATATTCAGTTAAAAATTCGACCGGGAAGACAGTCAAATGATTTTCGGAAGATGACTGCGTTTTATATGTATATAAAAGGTGCAATTATCTTCCACAAATCATTTGACTACCTTCACGGTCGAATTTTTAGCTGAATTGTTTTGTTGGTAAACTAGACTTGATAAGGATGAATATTCCCGAAATATTTCATCAAAAAATTCCACCGGAAACAGCCTCAAACGGCGGCGGCTGTACGGCGGATCCTGTCCCTCTGGCTGGACAAGATAATTCCTCTTATAAGAGTTACCTACTTACCTACACTTCAAAGTCACCATGTATTAACCTATAAAGAGTCAGGTGACACGCTGTCTATTTGGTTCAGTTCGTTTAAATTATTATTATTTTTACTAGAAATAATATCAATTTCAATCGATGTACATTTCTGAGTTATAGGTCTAATTTCGGACCCATTTATAAAATTCTAAATAATAATATTAGACTTTTTTTTAAAGAAAGACATAACTTGTATTAGAGCATGGTCATCCTTGAATCATTTTTTATTAGAATTTCAGTTATTTTTCATATATACCGCATACAATCAGAGTGTCCATTCAACGATTCGAACTACATTCGTGTTCGAAACTACACGTCGTGCCACAATTTTTTGGGTAGTTGTTTGGAATATAATATTACTATGCCGAAAGTGAAGTATAATTTAAGTTCACTTTTTCATCTTCCAACACTGCTCTATGTAGTACAGAGTAATTTGAGTTTATTACATGTCAATTTTTAATCATATTGCATTGTAAAAACAAGGATTCTAACACTAATTTATCTCGTACTTTTTTAAGTCTGTGTTGACTTTTCGTGACAAAACCATGTTTACATAAATTTTGACTTGAGTTTGAAAACGATATGCTAGTACGTGCAAAATTCTAAAACATTTTTTATCAAGAGTTAAAAAGTCATATTAATATAATTCGTAAGGTTCAATAGCTTTAGCATTTGATCACCTGATGACAATTCAGTTCATCAATCTGCCTTTGTACGCCCGCCATCATGATATCCTGCACGGTGGGGACAGGTGTGGTAACAACATCCAATGTTGTGCCTCCTCCCGCCAGGCGTGCCCTGTCCCACGTGGTAATCGTACAGTGTGGCGGTCACGTATTGGAAACGACGGTCTATATCATTCATGGTAGGGGTAGGTTCCCTAGGCCGGTTTCTATTGCGAGAAAACACCGAAGTGCGGTCTGTCACAACACCCCTTTCATGCCTTGTCGCGCCCAAATAACGATTCCCTCGTGTAATCCCCAAATTACTGCATACGTCGAGTAGGAGATGGGGGTACGCTCGAATTCAGTTGAGTAAACGAATTTCTCCGTGTCATTCTGGTTAGCCATGCGTCACATGGTTTCCGTCAGTTCCCTCTAGAGTCATGGGTCCATTCGGGTCTCGGCGGGAATCAGATGAGTGACATCCCCACGATTGCCTTGATGCGACCAATTGCTGCCGGATGGCTCCATAGAACTCAAAGTCCGTGATATATCTCGTGATGTCGTGCAACTGTTCGAACAAGTCTAGAGTGTGTCCGGAAGAGAATATGACCATTTTTGCATGCTTGAGTGGTTCGAGAAGTGCTTCTTAGCATGAGAGCTTGCTCGGGAGATTTTTGTTCAGTTTCCCAAAGACAGCGCCAATGTTGAGGTGTTTTTCTCAATATCCAAGTGTCCAACACTTCCCTTAGGGCTTTTGTATGATATTTTGGTGGATTAGATATATTTTAGTGGACTAGATAACTTTTTCAAGGCATTAACACTAGCAAGAAGCAATAAGATAGGTAACTGGACCGAGTTCTACTAAGCACTTACAAACAATTACAACACACCCTATTGAGTTGATCGCCAAACCTCTAATCTAAGTTGTGAGTAAAGGAGAAGTAGAAAGAAAGGCTATAGCAGAGTAGTCTAAGTTGTCAATCCCTAACAATGAAATAAATGCTACTACCTCCTCCTCTGTAGACTTTGCCAAGTGCAAAGTAGGTCAAAATAAGAATAATAAAAATGCGTGGTTGAGATCTGTGCAGAGGAGAGAGAAATGTGTAGAACCACAAATTAGTTGCTTTAAAAGGAAAGTTGCAATATTTTTTGGGACGACCAAAAAGGGAAAGTTGGCAAAGCCCGATGGGACGGAGGGAGTGCTATACTGCTATTTATACTACCATGAGGTAAGAATACTTTTACTTGGACGGTTTTCAGTGTCAGACCAGACCAGACTTAAAATTTGTAAAATACACGGACATCAAACATTTACTAGACCAGAAAATTTGAGTTCAAGTAAAAATTCCTTAGTGGTTGTAGTGATGTGGAGGACTATGAATGACTAATCCCCAATCATAAAATCTTTCATATCTAGTAGTGCATTAAATATTCTTCCCGCTAAAATATTTGCTTTCCTGCCAACTAAACTTAGCATGCCAGTTAAGAGCTCCATGACCGCCAATATAAATTATCCAAGGATGTGGTGCCTCATGGGACATGTCGTCCGGGATGGGTCGAGCGGCTTGAGCCTTAGCGTGTTTCGAGTTCCGTTCCTTCATGGAGATATTGGGTCGATCTTGTGTTAGGCCAACCACCCCAACAATACCATTAGTAGTTGATGATCCAATTCAGCGTAAAGCCATTGATTTCGGGCAAGCCGTTGACAATCCCTATCGAGAGCCTTTGGGCCACGCATTAATGGCCCAAACTTACCCGGAGTGTCTGCTGTGAGCTTATGGGCCAAGTATTATGACCGAATGAACAAAACCCTAATGGTGTTGTAGGACCCTATATAGTGAGGTGCTACCCGGCCTGAAGTCACACACACCTAGGGTTCCATTCACATACCCACTTTTGTCGTTGCCGTCTCTTTGAAATTTATGGTTTTGATCTCAGGAGGTCTCATTAATGTCCGATTGATTTACCCTCATGGAGGCTGGCTGTGATGACTAACATTATACCATCAAACTATGAAAGCTGATTGGAATTAGCTTGCTGATGCTAATCTATTGTTTTAGCCTGAGCCTCGTTCAATTGATTCAAGCCCGTATCATATCGTTTTAAATCGGTTTACTTCTTTAATTCGATATTAAGGCAACAAATTAGAGTCTCTGGAGCACCTCGCTATGGTGTTTACAGCGCTGTACGTTGCCGATATGAAAATTGGTGCTAACAGCATTTGCGCTTCTGAATTCTAATTTCCAAAGTGCTAGACTGTATATATTCCAACATATTATTTATGGGAATTTGTATATAATCTATCTCTTTTTGCCTAAAAAATATCAAATAAAGACTTCATGTTCTTTAAAAAACAATATTTACCTAAGATTTCAGATTCGTTTCATCCCATCTTAACTTAAATTTTCTGTTGTGCGGGACTGCTCTATTAGTATCATCTTGTGTGCTGCTTAATTGGATTCTCCTGTCTCGGATCGAGATGCAAGGAAATGAAAATGTCTTACGATAGAAATGTGATGAAACGAGGAAAGGGTCGATGGAGTACATTAACATCTACAGAGTAGATATAGTTGATTAAGGTGTACATTATATTAACATGTAAACATGTTGGTCCATTATCCCTTCTTACTTAATACTCCCTCTGTCCCGAAAACAATTTCACAGTTGGACTTTCACATATTTAGAAAATAAATTTGACTTTACGGTAGAGTGCACTGTTTAAACACTGTTTGGCATTGGCAGTGTTTTGATCACTGTTTAAACATTGTTTGATACTGTTTATCACTTTTTTTATGTAGATAATTTGCCAAATAAGGAAAGTATTGAAGTGTGAAGATTAATTTTGGGACATCTATTTAAGGAAAGTGAGAAGTTGTTTTTGGGACTAAATAAGTGGAATATATAAAGAGGGAGTATTGTGTTAGCCAATTGAGTCATATTAGCATGTTGATCTAACAAGTGGATCCAATGAGTACGAAATAATCAAGTTTATATATTTAGGAATGTCAAATGTAATATAGTGTGTTTTATTTTACCCCGTACAAATTGATGTACTCAATTTATAATTTACTCAATTCTAAACTTGTTTTTATCGTGAAATGAAGCACCGATATAACCATCCTTTTGGAGTTGTCACTTATGTGTGTGTATCGGGAGGACCAAAGTGTCAGCTATGTTTTTAGCAAAATAAAGCTATGTTTTTAGCTTTATTTTAAATATCGGCTTTTTCATTTTGTTAC